CAGAATACGATGATCCACGCATGAATATTAATAGATATGTGGGTTATGTCATCGTGATAGTATTAGCGGTAGGTCAGATCCATTAAAAAAAAAAACTTATGCATTTATGTTCTTAATCGGTGAGATGGAGAGACATAAACCATATAATGCCCGCACGGCCATGCATGCGCCTCATCCCTCATCCGTCATTTGCGAACTCCATGCTCATACATTCTCTCCCTCTCTCTCTCTCTCTTTTGTATAAGGCGGATACATCCTGGAAAGCGATAGAGTGAATACTAGACACAAAAGAAATTAAAAAGGAAAATACAAATTTATGCGTGATAGAGGTCATATACATTATGAAAAGTAATACTTTGAGTATGCCCTCAATGATGGTGTTTCCCAAGAACGTGGATTAGACCATGCCTCGCTCGCAGGGCATTGTGAAAGAAACAAAAGAAAGGAAGGGGGGGAATGGGGGATAACAAAAGATTTGGCACAATTGTGGTCGAAGATATTTTGGTTAGCATTGGTGTACGTATGCCCTCTATGAGGATCTTCCCCGTCGTCATTGGTCATAATTTCGTTTTTTTTTACTTGTTTTTTTTCCCCTCTTGTTCCATTTGCGCCATCTTCTTGCATGAGCTACAACATTTCAGTTGATACCAGTACCTCTAGATTTCTTTTGAAGTGCAATTACTGTAAATGGTAGGTTCGTATGCAAAGTTCGGTTCAACAAGTTATGGTCCGATGGAGTGGTGGTTTAAATAGTCAAACAGACACTTTTTCTTATTTTTTTTTTCTCACAATTACACACATTCTCTCCTCAACATTTGTCTCTCTCTCTCTCTCTCTCTCTCTCTCTCTCACATACACACTCCCTTTAAATAGTCGTATAAACAGATTAAAAAAATCACAAACACACAATATAAGATATGATAACTACATAAGCGCAATATAGTTTATTGACACCTTTAAACATTTATAGACAATGAAGTTAAACCCTCTCTCTCTCTCTCTCTCTCTCTCTCTCTCTCTCTCTCTCTCAGTAACACACATTCTCTCTTATGTTTATATTGACCCTAAGCATACATTAAAAAAAAACACATCTCAACTTCAATTTCTCTCTAAAAAAAAAACAAAAACAAAAACAAAGTGTTATAATGCTATACTCCTTAAGCGTCTACAATACACAAACGCTTGAGACCCCTCATATGTCAACATCAAGGCAAGAAAAACAATGAAAATGAGTTATAACGAACGACCAAGTTTGGTTGTTGCACTTGTATCAACGTCGTATAAATATTGGCCACAAGCAACCACTATAAATGAAATACTACCAAAGTGGAAATCGTGTCCTAACATCTCCTTTGCATTTTCATAAGGATGAGTATTTTGAAAGCTACCAAAATTCGGACATCAACTTCGATACAAGCAAAAAGCAATAATAACAACATTGAAACAAGACACATTTGCTCTCCCTCGTTTTTTTTTTTTTCACTCTCTTTTTGTCTTTCTGTCACTCTCTTCCTCTCTTTCTATCAAAAGAAGGACAACATATGCTTTTAGGGTTGCGTTCCCTGCGCCCCCGCGGTAGTCAATTGATAATCTCATCCTTGCCCTGTATAAAATCACAGTACTGAATCTCGCCCTTGTCATTTTCTGCTTGGATCCACTGTGACTAAAGTGTGTATGTGTGTGTGTATGAGAGAGAGAGAGAGAGAGAGAGAGAGAGAGAGAGAGAGAGAGAGAAAGGATAACACACCTCACCTCGCCTCACTGAAAAGATAGCTCGTATACATTCGTTATCAGGCTGCACTATGTTTATAAGGAAAGGGTTGACCAGGTGCGCGCCACACACACACACACACACACACACACACAC